TAACCACTGAGAAGAATGTATGCAGTGTATTATTTGTTGAAACTGTACTTTCGATTTGATTTGAAACTGTCTCATTGCTATATGTTTATCAGTAAAACTTTGAAAAGAAAAAAAATAAAAATGAAAGTCCTAGGTTCATTCTCCAGTACTGAAGCAAAACACAAGCTGAGAGTATAACAGTGTAAAGGCGCAGGGTTCAATGCCTAGTATCAACCCCATTTTCCCCCTCCCAAAAATTATTCTCATAAAGTAAGGGATTTTAGATAGACATTGTTTATAAATATCCCACATATTAAAATGAAATATTAAAAGCTGATATTTAAATTTGAACATTAAAGAAAATGAAATATCACTTGCTAAGATCAAGAGGCAGGATATCACAAACTGGCAGCATCCTTTGAATTCTGAATTGAGTAGTGTCAATAAGTTGGTGTTATCAGCATGGTCACAATCAGTCATCCAAAAGTGATTGATTGTCATTATGCAAACTCACCAAGAGATAATTAACTTAGTATGAGGCTACAAAATTACCTTACTTCCCGACACTGAGGCTGCTTCCTTTCTCACATTAACACACTGGGAAGGCAAATTAGTCACCAAAGGACTCTTGGCCTGAGCAAATTCAAAGGAGGCAGAAGTAATACACCTCAGCTATGCTTGGGGGGATTTACCATACTAATAGGGTTCCAATACAGACTGTGCAACTTACTAGCTGAGACTTTGGTGTTCTCAGCTTGAAAGATGAGGATCCTAGTAGTCCTCACTTCATGACCCTTCCCTGAAGATTAAATGAGTTATTATGGAATATAAAATGCTTGCAACTGTATTTCCTACTTGCCAAATTCTGTGGTTGTGCTTGTTTGCATTATTTGAGAGGCATTTTGGAGAAATGAAGAAAATTACCCCTCTAGCCTACTTTAGTGAACAGATTTCTCATATTGCTGGATTCTTCAGGAAGCTATCTGTCCCTGTGTAGTACTAAACAATGTAGGAAAAGAGATATAAGGAGGGAAGAAGTATGCATCAGAACTGACAGTCTAAATTCAAGGAACTTACATAGAATATCTCTGCTGTGTGACTTCAATATTCAATTAATTTCAAGGGATTACATTGCTAATGCTTCTTAATTGGGTTAACTGGACTTTGCAGTTGTCCTCTTATTTTTCATCAAAAATCATTTAAGGAGCTTTGCAAGGTGTCTTACAAATGAAGTTAGACAAGGGCTTTAGTACATTCTATAAATTGGATTCTGTATAGTTGTAAATTATGCTGACAAGCATTCTTGTAACACAATGAGGTCAAACAATCTTATGGGAAATGAACTTTTTATGTAGAACCCAAGCCAGAAAAAGGGACTCATGAAGATACCAAATCATGAGTACAGAAAAACATTGTAAATGCAATCCAAGGTCATGGCTACATTTTAATATTACAGGATTGAAATGATACATATTATGAAGACATACAGCAATATGAACACAAAGATATAGTTGTGAGGTATCTGTTACATGAAGGTATACTATATCACATGCTATAAACTATATGGAAGATTTTAAATTACAGCTCATAATTCTAAAGTCTGTAGTCTAAAAGGACAAAAATATTCATGTAACCAACTGAATAAAAAAGTATTTAAGGGCCATATGTTGGAGACAAAAATTTAGCCTGAGCTTTAGCACATAGGTGGATTTGAATTCATCTAGTAAAAGTTAGCTCATTCTATGGAATAACTAATGTGGTCAGGTCATAAGATGTAGCCCTTTCCACAAAGGGATGTTAATATTTCTATACACAATTCTTGCATAATTATCAGGTCAGAAGTTAGAGGACAGAAATAGCTTTAACTTTGAAATTAGAAAAATTAGGTTAAAACTTGGCCTTAACAAATCTACATGGGGTGACTCCAACAAGTAACTTTGTTCCACAAGTTAGTGTCATCTTTGATTTCCTCTTCCAATCTCATTCTTCATACAGTTAATCAATAGTTTAGTCCTTGCACATGACTTGGGTACATCCCCTATTCTCCATTCCCACATTGCAGTCAAAACCCTGACCCTAAACATTTGTTATGGATTCTGTGACCTGAATAGTCATGTCCCCTCACCCACAAGTATGTGTCACTTCTGAAGAAGGCATTGAAGACTTCAATGGATTGAAGTCTCTTTACATTTATAATCTCATATGATGATCCTTTTTCATTCTGGTCCTATGCCTCTCCAAACACACACCTGTTGCATGTCTCTGTGACCTTTTAGATTGCTATTTTTCAATGTCAAAGACTTTATCCCTATCTTTACTCTATCATTCCCATGAAGAAAAACGCAGTATTTTACTCTACTTTCAACACTCAGGCTCTGCAGACAATACCTTTATGAAGCACTCCTTGAGAACATAGTTATTACATCATCAGTACCTTCACAGCATATTTTATGTATTGTATTAGCACAACACTGACATTATTTGTGTACAAGCCAACCATCTCTAGAAGATCAAACAGTAGACAACAAAGACAAGGTCTTTCACTTTGCAGTTCTCAGTCCTAAGATAATGTCTGCCACAGAGAGGTTACAACAATACATGTCATGGCAATGATGTCAGACTTGAGAATGAATGGAAACAAGCAACTGATTTGTAGAAGTGGAAGGTGGTATAGGCCTTGAGAGACTTTGAAAATGCTTTAGAAATATGCAAACTTGAGGTGTTCAGTGTTTCAAACACATAAATGGTTATATGTATTTGATGTTTCTTTAATACATAAACATGTTATAAGTTTAAGCTCTATCTTTTCAAGATCATTAAAGAAATACTTTCACATGGTGAAAACTTGATCATTACATTCATTATTTGATTGAAAGAAGGATCCACTTCATGCCCCCTAGAAGAGGAACACTTATTTTAGAAGAGTGCCGTCTTCATTTTCTAGTACAATGTAGCATCAAAAACACTTGACTTTTTAGTTGGGGCATAGATAATTTTGCTTATGGCTCTACAACATAACTTAGAGCAATTAGAAATATGGATGCTCACTCTTACATGTTAAGTTTCTCTTGAACTTATTAAAACTACAGAAACAAGTATACCTTTAAACTACAATGGAAAACCTGTGATAACTGGACAGCTCAGTACTCTTCAATTTTATTCTCTTGAGCAGATCATCTGAATGAGTCTTATTGTAATAGTAACAACTTGGATGTCTTTGCCTTCCAAATCATGTGCAGGGTACCAGTGTTGGTTTCTTCTCTGGCAGATTTCTTACATGTGAATCATTAAATAGAATTAAAAATATTTTGTGGAACATTCCCTTTTTATCTTAACTGTTGCATATTGTCATGTGTCATATAACTACAGACAAAATGCTTAGACACCAATAAAAGTATCATGACTAAGAAATTTAGAACGCAGTCTACAAAGGCAATCTTTACCATTGCGTTCTACTTTCAGGACGATTCCCATCGCACTAGGTATTTCTAGTTGTTAGCATAAATCTTTTGGGTTTGGCAAAACTTGATGGTTAAGACTCTAAGAAATTGTTTTATTTCACAGGAAGGAGCCCCGTGAAATAAGATCTCAGGTGTTCGTAGGTCCTTACCTGTGACATCTTTGCATAAAAGGAAAAGTACTGCCTAAATTGAGTGAGCTCAGGAGGCAGATACAGGAAGCTTTACATGAAAGAGTAGCATATGAGATGCAACTGGAGGTGTGTATACATAACTTAAAATGTGCATTGCAAAGGCAAACTTGGAAGGAGAGGCGTAGTTGCTTTTATCTCTTCTCCCAGTCAAATCGTGAAAGCTTGCTGCCAACCTTTTTGGAACTTTTTCGCTGGTTCTTGACCCGTATTCCCCAATGGAATTGCTCCAGGCCAAACCAGACCTTTTGCTGTTTCTTTTTGTTAAAAGAAAGCAATCTGGTTTTTGCTGTAACGCACCTGTCTACAACTTCGCCCTTCTCAGACTCTGAACTAGTGTTTGCAGAGCGTAACGCGCCAAGGCGCTGACGGGACGATGGAGGCATCTCCTTGCGAACTGCAGTTGTACCTGCCGAGGAGGAACCAACAAGCACCAGATTTATGTGCACTTTGAAAGAAGCACCGTCACCATTGGCTTTCGGAGCGCGCTGTCTCTAGGGAGCGGCTGGCAGAGGAAGCACAGCACCCGGAGGAGCCCTGGCTGTTTGTTGCGGTAACCTGGGCGAGGAGGCTTCTCCAGCGTCGCGCACCGGGACGCACTGGCGCTCGCCCTGCGCCCCCAGCGCTGCTCTAGGCGGAGCTGCGCCGCGGCCGTGCTCCTCCCGCCCCCTGATTCCTGCTGCTGCCGCCCAGAGGAGAGACAGGACTCTGCTTCAAATTTCCTCTGGGAGCCGGCGCTGCGGAGAGCCGGACGGGTGAGCAAAGAGGCGGAGAACGCGATGAATGAGTTCTTCCTTCGCCTTGGAGTTGACTGAGTTGGCCGCGCGGCGTCCGGGTTTCCAGCTGTCTGCGCCCCAGAAGCTGGCGGCTCCCGGGGTCTCTGTCCACGCCCGCGGCAGGGACCGAGCCAGCCGCGCCCGGGGAGCCCAGGCTCCGGGGCGCCCGTCCGGCCTCAGTTGGGGACCAAGGCGCGTAGTCCCCGGCAGAGGCGCCAGGTCTCCGGGCTTCCTGCACTCCGCCCGCTGTCCCGTCTGCCTCTTCATGGCGTCTCGTCAGCAGACCAGGATCCAGGCTTACCTGGAGAGGAACAAGATCGGTCCTCTGTTTGAGGTAAGGCGCTAGGACGGTCCCACTGTCTTTGGGGGAAGAGGTGCGGCAACTGACCCAGAACATCCTCGAGGGAAGGCGTGATACAGAGCAAATGCGCGGGAGAGGGCGCCCTGTGGCCCCAGTTCAGTGGCATTAGCTCTGCCCAGCCCAGGTGTCCTGGAACGCGGCCGGGTGGGCACCCCGCCAGATCCCGGGATGCGGACAGGTGAGCTCCGAAAAGCCCAGCCTCAGCCTAGCCAGGCAGTTTTGAGCTACCGACAGTCCTGCACCTTGTAGCCACATGGGCAGGACCCAGGCAGGCTGAGATAGCAATGCACAACGATGCACACATGCACACTCAGATGGTCTTACACACACACACACGCACACACACACACACACACACACACACTTTGGGAATTGACAATATCTGGCGTGATTTTTTTTTTTTTTTAACGTGGGCGGTAGTAGAACCCGAAAAAGTGGAGGAGGTGCTTAGCAATAGAAATGAACATGGTTAACTGAGAAAAATAGCTAATGGCAAGGACCAGGCTTCAGAAGGTGCAGCGTGTTGAAAGAAATTAGAACAGGGCGAGACTGACATTGATCTCTGGATGAAAGGAGAGGCCTTGCCCTCGCAGACCGCACCTGTAATGCGGGGAAAACAGGAGGGGAGCGGCACTGGAAAAAGCACAGGAGTATTTACAGGAAGGAGACAAATGGCTCTGAGCTGTTTTCTTTCGCCATCAAAGAAATGATGACAAAACCACAGCATGGGGAAAAAAGAGCGGGAGGCTTAAGAACACGAGAACCAGACTGGAACCTGGCACCAACAAGCGTCCCAGCAGTTGCCAGGAAGAGGGGTGCGTGTTGGGTGGGGCGTGTGGGTCGGGGTCAGGTGGTGCGGTCTGAGGCCGAGGCCTGCGGGGAGGGGGGCGGCCCCCCCAGGTCTAACCTTCTGGCTGGGAAGAGTTGGGCAGGAAGAATACCTGGGAGGGGAGGTGCGCCCCCGGGCTCCGCTGAAGCCGCTGGAGCTGTACTTGGAGGCCGTCTGTGGGAAAAAGGGAAAGCACGGATTGAGAGGGAGCAGCCCTTGGGGACTGAAGAGATGCGGCTGGGAGGGGAGGGGCGGGCAAAAAAAGGGACAGGAGGATAAAGGTGTGGCGGAAGGGATCTTTTCTCTGGGAGAATGAGTTTTCAGCAGCCAAAGCCTGTAAGCATTTCTGAGGCCTATGTGGCCAACTTTGAAGTTAGCATAGTTTCTGGGAAGGCAGGACCATGATTGCAAATGACGCTCCTTGAAAGGGTTACAAAGTCCTACAGTCCTCTTGACTTTGTTTTCTGCCTTGTTTCCTTTAGCAAAGGAAGTTTTGTCTCTGTTAAAGGTGGTAGCAAAGTAGAATTGCTGGGGTTACCAGCCTTGCAGTGACTATAGACTCTGCATAAGCCCGTTTTAGGGGAAAGAAGACGCGCGCACACGCAGAACAAATATATGTATATGACCCTTTACAGTACAGCAATTGCATCCCAAGAATCATAAAATAAATAGATTTAGAATGTATATCTGCTGGCTGCTCTCCTAGAGTGTAAGACACAGTTAGGGAAAGACACGTGAAGTTTTCTTAATAGACGCTGCTCTCATTTGATTTATTTTAAAAATCCAAAGATTCTTTCCAAGTGATGGTTGTTTTAGAACATATGTACACTTTCTATATGATTAGAAAATAATCCTAATTTGATGTTTATCGAGGGCCAGCCAGAATGCTCATGAGCTAATTCTGCAATGAAAAAATTTTAATGTTGGCAAAATTGTCCCATAAAAGCCTTAGATCTCCACACCAAAAGCACAATAGATTTATATGCTTTGTAGTTTTTTGAATATATTACACAGCACAGTCTCCATTAGCTGGGATTACACTGATGAATAGTTAATTTTTAAGTGTTGATGAGTGTGGTTTATATAATTGAGCAGAGGAAAATAGTAATAAATTCTCTTTTACTAAAACCAGGATGGGACAACAAGATGCTTAGTCAACAATTTTGATCATGATGCAGCTTGATTTTGAGAGTAGAGTCATGTGTGCTTCACAAGTCGGGAAATCTCCCCAGCCGGTTCTCTCTCCCTGTGGTAGAAAACAGCTAAAGAAATACCACCCATGCATTGGACGGTATTGAGCTAATATTCTAGTCAAAGCTGTCAGACTTACACAATGGTTCTAAGCACAGATTTAGGAGGTCAGAAGAGGTTCCTAAGAATCTGAATTTATGGAGCAGCAAGAAATGATTTTGCTAAAGTTGTAGTTTCTGGGCCACATATTAAGAAACAATGAAGAAGCTACAATCTTTACTAATCAATAGAAATTGGAATAGGCAGCTTCAGTTTTCTTCAGTTTCTTATGTGTGCTTTCTTGTGTTGAGGCATTGGAGTTAGTGACACTTACTTTAGCTTTTGGCGAATTCAGCATCTGGTAATATGTCCCTTTTGCGGATATCATTAGTTAGGAAAGCTGCAAACAGGAGGATCACTGTGAGTCAGAGCTGCATAGTGAGACCTTGTACCAAACACATTGAATAATGTTAGAAATGTTTTTAAGAAATTTTTTGGAGTGATACATTTTAAAGAGAATATATGAAGGTTAATTAAAACAAGAGTAAAGATAACCTACTTATTGGTATTGAGATTACCTATTTTTTTAAAATCTGTAATTTTTAAGCTTATTTTAAGTTAGTTGGTTTATTTATCTCTAATATTTTATTTGAGGTACTTTTAAAACACATACTAGATGCATATTCCAAAAATTGCTTACCTTTAAATTAGTTTTATTTCTAAATGATTTAAAAGCATAAAATTACACTGCCTTTAAATGTGACTTAAGATGTTTAGAAACACTATGTGATCATGCCTAAAAATTACTGATAGTCCTGGCTAATAATATTTTAATTAAATAATAGGTTGTTGTAAAGTAACAATGACTTACAGTATGTTTTGCAAACTCTTGGAACTTTTGTAACATATAATAATTTCAATATTTTGGTTGGCTTATTGATAGCAGGTGGACCATGAAAACCTGGTCATCCATTTATAGGAGTTCTTGACATTGCTGAAATAAGGTAGCTCTATAATCCTACTTAAGTACTTCACACACAACTTACTTAACTGGCAAAGTGTGAAATGTTTAGGCTTCTTCCAAAAGAATATTTTTACAGTGTATAGCATGGAAGATGCTCGGTACAAGCCCTGGACTTGTCTCAAACCCTGAGGGGTTTAAGCCAGTCAATAGGCAGAGACATTGGCAATTAGAAATTCGGAAACTAAATAATTGTCTGATACCTTAATAATTGTCAAGTGGTCTGCTTTGTCTGCACTGTAAACAGTTTAACTTAGTTCTTGAAAGATTATGTAAAATAATTCTTTATTTTCCACATAGAAAAGTATAAAATTTTTAGTTTCTCTCATTCCTAATCGATAAAAAAAAAAAAAAAATGATTATTTGAGCCTGTTGGCTGGAAGAGTACTCATAGAAGACATGCATCTCAGTTCAAGCCTAACCACACTCACTGAGAGCCTGAGATCTTAAGCACAATCACAGAGCTCTCCTAAATTTTCCATAGAACTTTTAAGTCTCTGTGTACCAAAGTCACTGCATTCTCTACCTATGTGCCAATGTACTGCAGGTAGAAGAGATTGGCTTCATCATCAGTTTTGTTTAGCGGAAAGTATTTCTACTCACGTAAGCTGAATTTGCACTAACAAATCAGGTGTGCTTGCTACAAGGTGAGCTCAGCGCCCTCAACCTACACTCTCACACTTTTGCTGCTGCCCCTGTACACTCATCTCTGCTTCCTGCCTCCTGTGCAAGCTGGAACTCCAGTTTGCTTACATCTTTCTCAACCCACCAGTTTCCTTTATTTATGTCCCTGAAGGGCAGTGTGAAAAATGCCCATATCCTCACTAGAGAGCTGTAGCATACCCTTGGGCTTCCCTGCTTCATGAGGCCCTGGGCTGGCTGTCATCCAATGCCTGAAGCCAAATGTCCTATCTATTTTGGCTGGATCATGGCTGTGCAGGGCAATGGTGCTGAAGACAAGAAGAATGCCAGTTACTTCTGTGTGGTTCGAGGTTGGGACATCATTCCTCACCACACCCCTGGAAAAGGTATTTTATTTATTTATTATTTACTTATTTATTTTATTTTATTTTGGTGGTACTGGGGATTGAACTCAGGACCTTGCACTTGCCAGGCAAGTGCTTATTCTACTGAGCTATCTCCCAGCTCTAAGATATTTTAGTGTTTGAAAATAATTTGTCTTTGGGCCAGTGAGATAGCTCAGTGGTCTAGAGTGCCTGCTTAGGCAAGCATAGGCAGAAGGGCAGGGACCTTGGTTCGATTCCAGCACCACAAGCCTCACCAGCCCTGCTCCCAGGGCAGTTTGAGCTGGCCACAAAAAAAGAAAAAGTCTTTAAAACTGTCATTTAAACAGAAAAATCAGGAAAATGATTTTATAGGCAAAGTAGTAACATTAGCTTGGCAGTTAGTGTGTGTTTAACTTAATGGCTTGTAAATATGTCTCTGGAGTGATATTTGGGCTTTTCCTGTATCTAGATTTGTATGCATATTTTATTCCCAGAGTAGCAGACAAAGAAGGAAGTTCCTCTTAAAATGTTTGCTTGAGAAAAATCATAATTGTTAATTTACTTCCCAAAATTTTCAAGTCATTTTTACATTTTTTTTCTAAGTATTTTGGTACAGGATCTTACTATGCAGCTCTGACTCACAATGATCCTTCTGTTTTCAGCCTTCCCAGCACTGGGATTACAGGTGCACTCCACCACCCCTGGTCTTGGTGGCTGGCTCAGCGCACCCCAGAGCAGGACCACATTTTTACAAATGTTAACAGGTTTTGGATCAATAATCCATTTATTTTTTATGTTTGACTTGATATGCAGTATTTTTAAAGTAGTTTCTACAGAAATAAAGTGTTTCAAAACTGAACATGCTAAACAACTCACCTTTTAACTT